CATAGACAAAAAAAAACATCTGAAACAGAGCTGTCTCACCTACAATACATGAAACTTGGCCCCAAGTTTTCTCATCATTAAAAGACTTGGAGGGCCTTTTGAAACAAGAGGAGTTTTTGAAATCTGTGTTCCAGATAGATTCAAGCTCAAGTCAGTACATTCTCTCAACCAATTACACATTCAAAGTACACAAAGTACAATAGTTAGGGAAGAAAATAAAGTTGAATACTACTTATATACAACAGATATGTTTTTATCCCATCCATTCAGTTTTTAATATATAATTTAATATAATTTTTGAAATTTTTCAAATTGAAAGATGTGAGCTAATCTTACTACAAAGGAACTCCAAATGATCCACAATTGCAGTTTTTCCTAATATTAATTGAGAAATGTTTTATTGGAGGTTATCACTCTTCCCTCATATCACAAAGAATCAGGGTTGGCTTTGCAATTTAACAAGGTTTAGAAGTTTCTACCCTCATTGTGTCTTAAGGATTTTATTGAGCAGAGCCAGCAAGAATAATAACCAGTCATTCTCCTCTGTGCAAGAGCCCATATGCATGAGGGAAGTAAGGAGGGGTGCCAAGAGACAGAACAGCTATAGCACTGGACCACTGAGAGAAATCCAGCTGTCTATATACACTGTGGGTTTCACTATTTTAATAGCTGTAATCAGGATAATGTCTTGTGGATAATGGAATTTATTCACACCTGGGTTTTGACCCTGTACAGATAGAAGAATATTGCCTGCAGCACCTTCCTTCTCAAAACAGAGCCTACAGTAGAGCTTGCACAGCCAGAATATCCCTGGCATACACATCACAGGTATGGCCTCTTTCTATAGAATTGTGACAGTGACAAGTTTCAGGTGTTGTCCTCCAGAAAAATCAGCAGACAGGAAAAATAATGCAATAACATAAACAAAAGAAAATATCCTCTCATACCACAGCAATAATCACTAGAGCAAAGAAATATTTTTTGTGCCTGTTTATGCTACTAAGTTAGAGCTGAGAGGGTATAAAACTTTCAAATATGAATTCAGTCACACTTTAACAAAAGCCTTTTCCTTGCAAACATACATTTTATAAATTATGAAAAAAAAAAGAGATAAACAGAAGATGATAGGTAAATACCAGATCTTCAGACACTACATGTAAAAAGCACACACACACACAAAAACCTTCAAATAACAGCTTAGCTATAACCTCTTCAGCTCAGTAAAGAATTTAGTTCTTCACAATTGAGCACTGTTAATTAATAGATGCATTGCCAACTGTGCTCTCAAATTCAGTTGAATTTGTATTTCATATTATTTTAAAACTTATGACCCAATATAAGTGATGTGTTAAAGTTCCTCACATGCTGAAATTGCCTGGCAGACAAGACCCTACTGCAAGGCCATATCGCCTAGATCCCACTGGGAGGTCTATACCCAACTCAGTTCCAAGAGATACCAACATTTCATCACGTTCTAGAAAAGGAAGTGCTAGTGAATAAAGCTTTATTCAATGTCCTCTCCTGCAGTGCAAATATAGATGCACATTGTCAGAACACCACAAAACATAATAGGGAAACTTATTCCTTGTTTGTTTCCTTTAACTTCTGTTAAACTTCCTGTTTTGTTTCCCTTTGTGATCAAAAGATAACCGAGAAACTGACAGTACATAAAAAATCCCCGTGCGCAATACATTCTTGCCAGCCATTACTTAATCAGCCTGACCATTAATGTCCAGACAGACATAAGCTCATGAGTCATTCAATATTCAGAAGAACTGATGAACTGAGAGACCCAAGGTCCAGATTAATTTCACCTGTCTCTGGGCACTGAAGTTAGGAGTTCATTTTTGCATGCTAGCAGCTCCTACGTACTCTGTCAAGAGAGCCTGGCATTTTCGGTGGATGAATAGGCATCTGCTTCCTGTCTTTCCATCACCAAACAGAGAGCCTAGGACAACCAGACTCCTAACTTGGAACATAATTAAGCTTTTAAAGACAGCTGGAAAAAATACAAGCTTAATTTCCTGAACTAAGTTCTGGAAACTGGCAAATTACCATACTCACTTTTAAATGCACAAGATTCATCTGAAATGATCAAGAAAACTTCAGCCAGAATAGAACTGGTAAACTTCAGGGAACATGTTAATTGTAACCATCGCCTCAAAGAGCACCCATGGCCATCACTGACATTGAGTTCTTTAATCAGGTGATAGGGTTTTCCCTTCCTTTTCATCTTCCAGATAAACATTTTCCAGAGAACGGAGCATATACACTATATCTAACACTACTCTTGGTTACTCCTTCTATCTGAGCTCAGTGCCATGAAAGATTAATTAGCAGCAACTCTCTCCTCAGGTGCAGCTGAGGATGACAACAAGGCATCATCCTTGTTCAGGTGGCGGCTATATTGTCAAAAAGTCCCTCCATCTTGCTTAAGACTGATTCAGTCCTTCCTTCATTTCCAGAACAATGGCTAAAGCAATAATAAAAAAAATGCAATCTTTTCTCATCCTACCATCTTTCAACTGAGTAGTGTAATTGGCTGTGCACCTTCTGACAGTTGAACAAAACAATGATATCCATCAGAAGTTTCTCAGGACTAAATGTTTCAGCACATTTTCCAAGACATACACAAAAGGTGAAACTTCTTCATAGACACATAGGTATTGAAACATTCACCATGAACCACACAACCACTATCAAATTACCAGGACTGAAACTATGTATTATGCAGTAAACTTTGAAATTTATAGTTATAATGCATTACTTAATCTCTGCATAAATCTTTCCCTTCTGTAAAATAACTTGTTTTCCATGTTTTTTGGATTGCATGAGCAGTGATAAGATCCAATGTTTTGCCTGAAGAGAAAATATTGATGTAATTGTCATTCACATCTTACATTAGTGTACCTGTAGATTCCTTCACACCGTTTCAGCACTGATTGATAGTATGGATAATTTTTAAAGGCCATCCACAGTTTCTTCAGAAGAAAAAGTCCCCTACTTTCTTTCTGAGGTGGGGAGGAGAGGTGCTCTGAGGTCATTTAAACAAAAAGCTTTTCTACACTTTTTATAAGCCAGGCGGTGCTCTGACAACAACCTGCTGTTCATTAGTTTTCAGTTCTAACATGGGAAAGTCTGAAACACATACCTCAGTTTTCAGGCCAAACATCCTATGAGTTGAAACAGCACTCAGAATACCCTCAACTTTAGCCCAAAACAGCACTGTGCTAAGAGGCCAAGCTTTCTCTAATGGTAATAATGCTCCAACTTTTTATCGGAATATTTATATGGAACCTGTTTGAATACCTGAGCACTTTCTATGTCTCTTTAGTGCCTTTAATTCAAATAATTTCCAAAGTACTATTTATATTGTTATTGTTTTCTCATACTTCACACACTATGAACTGTCTTTGTTAACATCCAAGCACCCCTTCAACAAATCACATTGAATGAATTTGGGTAAAAAGGTAAATGATACTTAGGAACATCAGCTGAAATTTGTAAAGCTTCCAAAGCGCTAGAGTGCCTCCCACTCAGCACATGTCAGTATAATTTGGCCATTTTTTTTAATATCTAAAAGTTTAATGAAATCTGCATGACTTACTTAAGTGATAAGCAAATCATGGAGATTTGCTGGAGAAAGATAATATTTTAGTGGAAAAGATCTGTGTAAAGAAATACTCATTAAACAAACCATTAGCTTTAAAGAGGAATAGTTTTGTAGAACAAAGTTACGTTTTAACTCTAAGAAACAATGATTTAAAAAAATCCTAAAATAAGTAACAGTGGTTCGGTAAAAATTGTCCTGCATTTGCTACATGCTCTAAAAATTAAATCTCTATCTTACATCACCATCATGTTTACTAAGAATTAAGGTCATTTGCACCAGCAATCACTTACCTACATTAAAAAACAAACAAACAAAAATAGTACCTGCACTTCACCAAAACTGTTTATAGAGTGTCTGGTTCAAGATGGAGAAATTCACTATAGAAAACTAGTATCCACTCAAAAAACATCATTTAAACTAATATCTGAATATTCATGTATCAAGATATCCTGGCACAATACAATTAATTCTAAAATGCTCAGTAGTCAATATTAATACTAATGTCATTTGTAATTAAAAACTTACAGATGGGACCAGGAAAATATAAATACAAAAATAATAAAAGAAAATATAAAAAATATAAAAGTATAAAAATAATGATGTGTAAATATATAAAAATAATCAAATATAAATATAGGCTCAGGAAAATATAAAGAGACTTTTATTAACTGTGGGGTATTTTTCAGTATGGAATAATACATAAGCTTTACAAAAAAATACCCTCTTCATAATTATACCACAGATATTTGTATTTATGGTATATTCTCAATATATTTCATATTTAAAGGAGTAGTAAACCCATCTGTATGTTTTGTGCTGATGCACAGAGAGTGTAAGAAATCCCAGTTAACACCACGATGGATACTTAGATATTCACTTTCATTATCTGAGGCATATTTCCAAAGACTTCAGTGTGATACTTCTCAGAACAGAAGTGCTAAATAGGTCAGCGAATGGATTCTCAAACCATTTCTGTGAGAAAACCTCCCAGTGCCTTCAGTAGGCTTTGAATCGAGCCTTCAGATCTCAGCTGTTACAAATTTTCTGCGTGTCCTTTTCAATAAGCAATGATGGCTTTCTGTTCTGAAAGCTAAATGTATCTTTGTGTTTTCTCTCACAAAAGATCAGAACCCTCTAAGCACCATCTGGACTGTTTCTTTGTGCATTTTCGCTTTATGCAGATGTGGTCTTCGAACAGTGACTGCAAAAATCCTATTATAATGTATGCAGCCGATGGCAGTGAGGACCCTGATCCTGCAGTCCTTTGAACTCAAAAGGAAATGGATCAGGCCCTCTCTCTGATTTGCATAATAAAAGCATGAAGCCTATTGTGCTAGTTTATAACTATCACAATTTCAAATTTATTCTGTCTCATGTAATCTCTTACCTCCAAGGCAGGCACCCATGGCCAATGAAAAGATTAGTGGCTTCATAGGGAGGTTAACATCAGGATCTTTACTCAGGTTGAGAAGCACAGGAATCTGTGTTTAAAAAATACATAATAAAAAACAAAATTTATTCAAGTAAACCACATTAGCCAGTCCAAAGAAGAACTTATGTCTTCTCTTTACAATATCTATCATTGTATTCTTGTTCTCGGGTCCCTTTTCCCCTTTGCCTGTACTAATCCCACATGCCAAAGAGAAGGTATTCATAGTATTAGGCTGAGCTGGGTCATACCTATACAAATACTCATTTTATCTGGCCCAGGTTGATTGCTAATAAAATTGAGGATCCCGTAAGCCTGTGATTGCCTCCCAGAAGGTTCTTCTAATTCAACAAGGAACTCTCAGGGATTAGGCTTCAATTCCCTTCCATTTCTTATACATTAAGTGACCTGTTCTCTCCTCTTGCTAGAACTGAAAATAAAACTTCTAAATTCTTCTAGACCTTCACAATCAAGATGGCTGCATATCATGTGTCATTATCTAAAAAAAAAAATCTGAATTCCTGTTAGAACCAAGTGTCTGGTCTTTAGGGAAAAATGGGCAGAGAAGACCTAATGCAGCAGACTTCTAAATTCATAAGCAGAACTGATTTTTTTTTTACTTCTTAATCTAATATATTTGCCAGGAAAGGCAGAGTTTGTTCACTGGGAAATATTTATAGAGTTTTAAGATTTTTATTTAATCATTTTAGTAAATAAAATTAAAACAAAACCCTGCAAAAAATCAAATGACATTTATAGAGAGACATAATGGGCTTCACTAGACCACCTGGTATAGAAGTCAAAAATACATCAGGCAGGCTTTCTAGTAGCATCAGATCTAAATCAGAAGCTTTCGATCTTGCCATTAAAAAGCAGTTTGGGAACAATTGTATTGAGTTCAACCTGTGGAACCACTCACTTTGAAAGAAAGGGTGAAATAATGCCTGTGCAACAGAGAGGGATGTTAGCAAGTGGAGAGGTGATAATGTTCCTAACCTGTTCTTAATGTGCATAAGAGGTCTATGGGACCAAAGGAGAGAGAGCAAGCACCCTGAAATAGTGAAGAGTTGAACAGGAAGGAAGGTGTGGAAATAACTGTAATATACCTTGAAATTAATGCTTTTTCTGAGTTTGGAATTTTAACAGTGAATAGAGCAAAGACTTTTAATCCTCCAGTTTGTCATTGATTGTATTTCACAAGTCTGCCTCAAGGGTTATGATCTCCGAGATGGAGCAGCTGCTTCCTGAAAAAAATGTTTTCACTTTGATATCTGAGTGATGATCACCTTTATTAACTGTGGGTTTTTTTCTGGTATGGAGTAATACATAGGCTTTATGAAAAATTACAAGCCTTCCTTTCTCCCTTCCTCCTGGCATTGGTACTAATCATCCCTCTTAAATCCTCTAACTGATTAACATTTAAGTTAGTGTTTAAAAAAATATTTAGGAATTGTATGTTGCTTAAAGATCTCTGCTTTTGTTTAAGACCCAAAGAAGAATCAGCATGCCTAACATCTTGTCTGGCTTTTGTTATGAAACACCATCATGAAATATTTCCTTTCTCCCCACAAATTTTGCCTCTCTCAAGCCATCACTGCTTGATGATGTTACAGAACATGTTACACAATTCAAACTACAGTTTTATCTAAATTTATTTGCTTTTAGGTTGAAACAAGGCATTGTTTTAAAATAAATATAAGTACTGAAAGTACAATAAGTAATGAAATCCTAGAAACAATCTCTAAGCAAAGCATTTTCTTTTTACATAATTTTGATCAGAGCACCAAAAATAATTATTTAGTTCTGTGATGGATGTGCTCCTTCCCCAGCTCAACCTGACTTCTCACACAGAGCCCAGTTCAGGTGTTAACTACCACATTACCTGACCTTGGTATTTGCCTCCCTGACCTCTTCCCCCACTCAGACATTAACCAACAATAACAGTCCTGATGGCCATATCCTGATGGGGAGATAAGGCTAACTGTGCGTACACCAGCCAAAAGTCATCTGAAATGAAAGAATGACTATAAGTTACACAGAATCACACAGGATGGTTGAGGTTGGAAGGGACCTCTAGAGGTCATCTAGTCCAACCCCCCTGCTCCAGAAAGGACGCCTAGAGCACGTGGCACAGGGTGGCATCCAGGCAGGGTTTGAACATCTATGCCAAAACCTGTTCCCCCTAAAAGTACTCCTCAAATCCAAACAAACCTTACATATTAAGGGACAATCATCTTATCCCATGGATATGGGCACAGCCCAAGAGCCCATTGAGCTCTCCTTGCACCGCAGCAGGCTGCACACCAGGATCTCCCCTTGAGCAGGGACGCCTCTCAAGGATACTCCTGGAGGTTGAGAGATCCTTGCCACTACAGTTTCGTGGTAAGTGACTACAGCATGCTATCTTTATGAACTTGTAAACTTTACTATATAACTGTGCACAAATCCCTTAGACATAAACCATTGACCAGGTCTGGGACTAGGATTGGATCCAGCTGCATCAAGACTCCTCTCAGAAGGTGTTTGGAAAGCAGGAGGGTCCAGTCTGAACCTCGTAACCCAATGGGAAGCTGTCCTTGATAATTCTGTGTGCATCTTGAACGTCCATGCAGTAAATAATAAGTGACCTTGCCACAGAATCTTGTGAAAACACTGTCATTATCAATAAAACCTATTACTATTTCTTTCACATGGGTGAAGTGCATTGTATC